TTTAAGATGAGGTTAGATGAACACCTTGCTGGGGTCGTTTGACCCCAGTACTCTTTCCTGCCATGGCAGGGGGTCGGACTAGATGATCTGCTCAGGTCCCTTCCGACCCTAGAAACTATGAAACTATGAAAATCATAGCAGGGCTATAGGTATTGACACAGAACTCCAGACCTAAGACATTCAGAAGCACTGAGAGGCCTGAGCCCAGGATGAGAAAGATTCTAGCATCAATTCCATGTTTACCCATGCAAATGCAGGTGTATATTTTGAGTCCTAAACCCCTTAAGCAGTTGAACAGTAAGATGGGTTGTTTGCTGAGCTTCTTAATTTTAGAAAAAGAAAAAAAAATCATAAAAGCTCCAAATAGCAATTTCTCTTCCATTTGATCCAAAGCAGTGCATCTAGCCTATGTTGTTAGTAGTGGGTGCATCTACATCTGCACTTTAATGCGCAGTAGTTAGTTCTACTGCACATTAAAACATCATGTAAAAAACCATGCGATTATGCTAATGGGCCATAAAATAGGCTACTGCGTATTAAGCATCACTTAAAATGCATGCACATTTGTTACTGTTAGGCAGCCTAAGGTGCATTTCTTTAGTACCTCACACTGGAGGTACTAAGAAAAAGTGCCTTAATGCATGTGTAGATGCACCCAATGAGAAGCTATTATCGTGTGATGATGGCTATGGGTGTACTCTGTTACTGAAAGGGGCGTGAGCAAGCAGCCTGCAGGTGGATGCTCTTCCAGTCACGCCCAGTTACCTGATTGGAAACAGGGCCCAACTGTTCATTACAAAAGCAGGGCTGTGAGCAGTATAGTCAGCAGTTTGCTGCTAGCAGCCAGGAGAAGAACACCACTTGGTTGGAACTACTGCTCATACCATCTTGGAGGTACAAGGAAGGAGCTATGGGGATGGCTGGAGGCTCCTGGTCCTGGGGCATGACCTAAATCTGGATCCTGCTGGGGTTGGCTGGTGTGATGGGACTGCATGTGGCAGGGCAGTCTCCAGGAAGTGCCACTTCTGTACCTCCCGAGTGAAGGGTATGGGGTGCCAGAAAGCCTCAGTCTCGGCTGCCTTGTGGGAGACCCCATGGAAGGGAAAGGCTAGGGGAGCACACCCCGAAGAGCAAAGCAGGAACCCAGGCTGACAGTTAGTGCTGAGGAAGGGCCCAGGTCAGGAAGGGACCTGAGGTAGTGTCCAGGCTCACTGTGAGTACTGAGTGTCATTAAGGAGTCAGATGTGAGACTCCAGTGAGGTGGGGCCCTAAACAAAGGGAGCTATATGTGAGGCTCCTCAGGCAAGGGGATAAAGGGATTGTTGAGGCCCAGTGTGGGGCACAAGGGATGAGCTTGGAGATACTGAGAAGCCCAGTGCAGGGCATATGGGGATTGAGGTCCAGTGTGGGGTGTAAGGGGATCCTGAGGATCCTGAGCTGGGCTGGGAGCCCTGAGTGAAGCCAGGCTGGGAGCCCAAGGAACAGAGAAGGGCTCAGGTTGATTGAGTGGCCAGGTGTTAGGCCAGACAAATTATAGGATGGGTGTTAGGCCATGGATGCCATCTGCAAGGCATGGGACACAGTATAGGGAAGGTCAGAGCCATGTATATAATCTCTTGGCATCAGGGCAAGTAAATGGGCAGCCTCCTGCCTTGTTGTCGTCATGCAATTGTATCATCAAAGGTGTGGTGGGTGAAGTAGGTGGTCAGTTAGCCCTAAGACAGGTGGGCAAGCCAGTGATTTGACCGGCACTGGGATGCCCACTGATTACAGGGTATTGTATGAGAAACGCATGGGTAAATCTTCTTTCCTAGTGGATATATGTTCATACCCACAGTACAGAGCACTACAGCTGACTTTAACTGACCTCTGTATTGGCTGCTTTGCCCAGATTACCAAGACCTGATTAGGCCATGGATCAAGAACAGGTATAGCATTGGCAGTGGTTATGCAAGCTTCCACAACACTTCCCTACTAAAATGCTCGCAACATCATCTGGAGAAATTTTCTCTACAAGTTGGAGGAGAGTTGATCTCTATGGACTAATAACTCTTTGCAGAGAAGACTGACAGTGAGGGAAATTTTGTAGAGGGGTATGTTTTGCTATCCCTGGCAAATATTTCTAAATTATAGCACACACTATTTTATACGTTTGTTGTTTGATCATTGAGCCTCACATCCATCCTCCTGATACCTTCCATCCACAGATCTCAGCATGCTCTATAATAACAGAACCAAGGCACACAATTACCTTGCAGACAAGGAGCACCATAGCTGCCAGCTTTCAGCTTGGGATACTGAGGCACAGATATGTTAAAGGCCCATATTTTCTTAAAAAGTGGGAACTACTTTTGGATGATCAGCTTACCTGCAGCCTCAATTTTCAGAGGAACTGTCCTGCACCTCCCATTGACTTTAACACTTTGGCCTCAGGGATTTCTCCATAATCACACAGTACATCAGAGAAAAAACAGAGCCTCGGTCTCATCATCCTTACTTCTTTTTATAAACCATAACTTCATTAGTAGTCTCCTACAGCCTGCTTCTGCCTTATTCTTTATCCAATAAGACACCATGAAATACTGCAAACTTTGCAAAATAATCTGTTCTTTTGAGGTTTTTCCTATGTGTTTGCAGAAGCAGGGGTTAACACTAAGACTCATGACCACTAAAAAGCCACCTTTATCACCACCCTGAAACCAAGACAAATCTGAGAGCAGAGAGCTCCTATCACTCGTCTCCCACTTCTGGTGGATTTTTTTGTTTGTCTTCTGCTGCTGAATTCTTGGTTTTCCTTTCACTGAGGCACCTAACCAATAGTAAACCTATGCGACACCACCTACTTTCTCCTGCTAATTGTTGTGTCTAAGCTCCCTCTGGTATTTGACTATATTCCAGTGATTAGGACTATATTTAACTCTGTAGAAACCTAAGGGTTTGGGGAATGTACTTGCACTTTGTAGAGGTTTCATAGTTTCATAGTTGGTAAGGTCAGAAAGAACCTGAGCAGATCATCAAGTCCAACCTCCTGCCATGGCAGGAAAGAGTACTGGGGTCAAATGACCCTGGCAAGGTGTTCTTCCAGCCTCCTCTTAAAGACCCCCAGGGTAGGAGCCAGCATCACTTCTCTTGGAAGTTGGTTCCAGATCCTAGCTGCCCTGAATTCACGATTCACCCACCTTGATGTATATACACTTTGAAGGGGGATGTGGAACATGCAATTTAAATTGTAGGTAGTCCTGCAACAGCATCTCCCAATGCCATTCCTGTAGGAAAATAAGAGGAAAGGGAAGGTCCATGTGTATCCTGGGTGCTTTCCCTGGCACCTAGGTCGGGTTTGTTTTTCTGGAATGGTGTCAACTCTCTCAGAAAGTCTGAGAATGGGCAGTGGAAGAGGAGGGGGATCTCAAACACAGCCACAGAGACCCTTTGGGATACAAGCCTACAGCTCTGAGCCCTTTTCCAGTAGTACTGGGAGGACCAGGTATATAAGTATTACTGTGTCAGGAGAGTGTAGTGGGGAGAAGAGTTGAGAAGAACTAGCCAAAGCCTGGGACATATCAAAGCAGGGTAGCTAGAATTTGGCAATGGTAGTATTCATTGCTGTGGCTCCCAGAGCTGCGAGAGCCACCACTCCTCCTGCTGCCAAATTTTCAGCCCCAAGGGCAGCTCCCTGCAGCAATCAATACTGCCAGTGCTGCCCACACTGCTAAATGTCTAGTCCCGTGGACAGCCCCATGGACCAGATGGGCAGCATCTTGGTCACCCCTGTTCTACAGCATTGGAGCCAGGAAGAACGACTGAGTAAGAGATTATGAGGTAGATTCATCCCTGTACTGCCACAGGACCAAAAGTGAGAGATGCATCTTGTGTCTAATCTATCTGGGATGCATGTGGGGCATCTCCTGGGACAGGCACTTGTTTCTATGATAGTTTGAAGGAACAGAATGAGAAACATACCTTTTGTGCTATAAATAGTGCCTATAGTGACAGATGGTAGATGAATTTGCTGCAGAATGTCACAATTTGGCTGAGTTATTAAACTCTCATCACTTGCAATTATTGAAGAGCCTATACCATTTTTGGCAAGAACAGGCCCTATGCCAAACTCCAGTTTGGGTAATTGCATTCTGCTTCCCTAAGTGCCCCCTCCAGTTTAAAATGGATGCAGAAGATTTCATGCTATCTTATGCTATTGTATAATGTTGTGCATAAACAGGTTCCATTTCTTGGTTCCACCCCAGATAGGGCTACATTTCACCCGGTATGATCTCTTTATGATTAGGATGAAATTCCATGCTCTAAATGTAACCAAAATGCCCATTGTCTTTGATAGGAGCCTTTCTCCAATTAAGGGCTATAGCATTTGGCCCAATGTTTGCAAAACTCTTGGAATGAAAATTACCCCTGGAACATTAAAACCATTATTTTTTTGTAGGTTAGGTGAAATTAGGAACTAGTTTATTTCGTTTGTTTTTTGCTAGGCTGCAGTAGCTATATGATCTAGTATACTATGGAATAGCACCTAGTCTGGTCTGATGTGGAACTTACTGGGAGCCATTCAGAGATGTATTAAGTTTTATGTGCCCACAATAATGAGTCCCTAGTTGGAGTAACCACAGTAAAAAAGGGTGGGGTGCAGACTGGCTATTCACTGTGACAACCCACTGAGTGTAAATCTCAGAGAAAGGTCAGGGCACTGGGGATGTTCCTCTGACCCGTGTAATGAATGAATGATAAAGCTCACTAATGAGAAAACATTTCCGGAAAATCCAGAGTGGGACAGAGGGATAGACTGGAAGGGGTCAAAGGCTTTTGTTTCATGGTCAGAGCTGTCAAGTTAACCCTAAGAATGCCAAAGATCCAAGTTCCTGTTAAAGAACACAGATGCACTTGTAGCCTAAACAGTTATGATTTCATTTGCCTTAATTTCTCTTTCTTTTTCTTGGTTCTGAAGATGCAGGAGCTGGAGCAAAGAGTGATTGAAGCAGAACAGCGGGCTGAGAATGCAGAGAAACAGGTAGGATGCTCTCTGACACTTGCTCTGTTAAAAGCCCAGCAAGTATTCCTTCTTGCTCTCCAGCCCCCTATTCAGACAGCAATGTGCACCATGAAACTTTCTTAGTGTGATATTCATTATAGACTAGTGGACTAATTTTCTGGTTTGACCTCACAAATTTTGAGATGGCCCTAATGGAGTTAAACCATAGGTGAACACTGGAAGAGTTTTACAAACAAAGGTCTGGCTCCCCCTGGAAGAACCCTGAGGGAAAGTTCTGCCTTTACCTAATCAACTGTGACATGCAGGTTGATAAGCCAATGGAGGCATAAGCTGTCTCACAATATGGCCCTTGGAATGACTATGGAATAGCAGGGGGAGATTGCAGATGAGACTGAAGTGCAATGATTCATAGATTCATCTCCTGGAGATCTTGGAGACTGTAAAAAACAGCAAGATACATAGGATTGCTAGTAAGGGCTTGTCTGTATAGCCAAGCAACCACACAGCAAGAAAAATGTGAAAGTAAAGCACAAGAACCAAATTGTCCTGCATGGATTCTCTTATTCTACATCGAGATTGCTTTTTTTGTGGTTTAACCCAGTTCATTTCAGAAAGGGATTAATCTAAACTTAATCTAATTGAAATACAGCACATAACTCAGGATGTCCCTAAATGTATGACTGTAGGTGACTGGGAGGGTACAATAAGAGACGGAACAATCTACACAAGCCCTGTTTTTTATACTCTTCCTCTCTACAGCATCTACTGTTTGCCATTGTTGGAGATGGGCTCCTGGGCTGGATGGACCCCTGGTCTGAACTAGTGTGGTAGTATGTGTTCTGAACTGCCAAAGGCACTCTTAGCATCGAAGAGTCTCCACATGGGGAGTGAATATGGAATAACTATTTAGCAATTGCTTTTTGGGATATGCCCCATTGTAGACAAGTACTAAGAAGAAGATCTCTAACCTGCTCTCTGGCACACATCATTAGTCAGGAATGCAGAAGATTATACCTCTGACACATACTGTTCCTAGTCTAGAGGTCTGTTCCCATTCTAGAGGTCTAGCTGTGAAATAACAGGTGACACTAGAAGGTGACAATGATAGTGTCCTGATGTTAAGTGTAAGAAGAAAGCCAACAGGGCTCCAGGAGTGTCATCCTCTTACTTCCAGGGCCCTTATTCACTCTCAAGGTGTAGCAAATTAGCGTACAGTCTAGGTTTATGAGCCCTGATCAGGGCCAAATTAATGCATAGGCAAACTAGGCACATGCCTAGGGCCCTGAGCTGCGGATGGCCCCTGGTCCTTCCCTCCGCGGCAGCAGTACAAATGGCCCTGTTTACCTCCCTATCCTTCCTGCCAGCCTTGCTGCCATGGTGGCTTCTTCCTAGTGGCAGCTCCGAGCCCCTCTCCGTACGGGCAGCAGTGCCGGGGTGGGGAAGAGGTCTCGACCAGCCCAGGGTCCACAATTTTGTTTGCCTAGGGCCCGCTAAAGGGTTAATCTGGCCCCGGCCCTGATGAAGAACTCTCTGGCCATATTGCAGCTGTTCTGACATGGAAGAAAATGCATCATGAAATACGAATAACCACCCTCACAGCTAGGAATACTGTAACCCCCTGCTTACCTATAGAATTAGCTGCTGTGTCAGTAGCTGGTTTCTAGAGTTTGGAGGCATAATGATATCAGAGGTTCCTCCCTCAACCTCTTCTTCTCTTTTATGCTGTTTGCTGCCTTGGGAACAGTAGCGAGAGTGTAACAAAGGTCACTGGGTGCAGAAGGCTCCCAGACTGTCTCTGTGGCTATTTTTGAGGCCACTAGGACACCTGCTGACTTCATGAAAAGTCCTCCTCAGAGATACAGGGATTTCTCCTGTACTCTGAGCATCACTACACCAGGGTTTCTGCCAGGGCAGTGCCATTTTGAGTTACAGCCAAAGTTCAGCAGAAAACCCCAAAATGGAGGCGGGCTTTCCTTCCCAGCTGCCCATTCCATTTTTTTTGGACCAAACCAGTAAGTTCTGGATACCATGGCAGAATGGAGGTTGGTAGTAACTTGTGCCTCTCTGACCTACCTTGCCCTTGCAGCATTTTGGGCCAGTGGGCAGCCTCTAGCTCAGGTTTGACTGCCAGATGCTAACAGAACCTGGGGAAATGATTCAAGCCCCTGGGCTGAAAGGGCTGCTGCTTCATCTCCTGCAATACGCAGAAAGAAACAGCATTGCGCTGGAAATACTTTAATTATGTCCCAGAGCCTAAGGAAGCAGCAGTGTAAAGAGTGGGGCTGCCCTCTCACAGGCAGGCAGGTTTGGCATGAATGAGAAGTGTTTGGTATATGAAAGGCCTCCACAGAACTAAAACCCCCTTGTTTTCTTTTGCCCCGTGTATCTGACAGTTGGCACTGCCAAGCCAATGGACTCCCCACAGCTGCCAACCTTAATTAACAAAATCACATGTTTGCAATCCCCACTCTGAGCCTCCAGCACACAGTCAGAGCTCAGGCATCAGACAGACAGGAGGAGCCATTTAGTTTTGCTGTAATCACCCTGACTGCTAATGAAAACACATCCGACTCAGCAGGCTTAGCTTTCTGGCTGGGATGCTGGGCGCCTGCTTTTCTGATCCAGGATCAGGAAGAGACAATTTGCCTCTTTCTGTCTAATTCGGACAGACAGGAGGACAAAACACAGCTTCTATGAGCGTGAGAGGAGGGCTGCTTAATGGAGTGTAAGCTGCTCTCTCTCTCAGATTCTCTGGATTGACCTGGTCATTACCGCTGCTTTGCCTTGCTGGCCTCCAGCTTATGCCAAATCAGTATGGCATTTGGGGGCCTGGTTCTGAAATTATTTGAATTTGTGTCTCACCAGGACCTGGTATTTGTCTCTCATAGTATTGTAATTAGCAAGCAGGGTTCAGCTGGACAAAGTCACTTTGCCATTAAAAGGGAACTTTTGCTTTCTCCCACAGCTGAGGACTTTGTTGAATCTTCCATATAGACTGGACCCTGATACTTTGCAGTTAGCAAATGGAGGGACAGAGTAAGAGGCATAAGTTTTGGACAAAGAAAAGAAGTTTTCAGATAAGTAAATTTCTCAGAGAAGCTTTAGTGGTAGCTGGATCTTCAGGTACTGAAACCTTTTTCACAATACCAACGAATTCCTGCTAAAGTGCCCTCTTTTGGAGAACTGTTGAGAGTTCAAAAAGAGACAAAGCTTCAGTGGTTTCCAGCATTTTCAATTTTGTTAATTAATTAGTAGGTCTAAGCCAAACGTGTGTAGGAACACCAGAAGCTGACAGTGGCCTGAACTAGGTATCCTACCAGTGGGAAGTTTTTGCTAGGATACTTATGACCAGAAAGCTTTAACAAAGATGACCAGGATCTTGAAGTACTGACCATGATATTGAGCAAAGGTAAAGAACTGAATGTGTTCTCGATGAGAAGCCAATGTAGGGTGCACTGTCTGTATGATACTTTTATGGCTCCCATACTCATAGTATCTGGGTTCCTCACAGTCATATGTATTTATCAACTCTTGCTTCTGATCACAAACCATCCTACTCCCCTTATTGCACCAGTGATGCCACAGACAATGTTAGCACTAGACACAGACAACATTTGAAAATAAACTAATTTCAAAGCTGCTTTTTAATTTTTTTTCCCTTTTTTCTGTTTTGTTCCTTCTGTTGCAAATATGAAACACAGAAAATTTCCCAGTGAGGTCCTTACCACTGCATAATTAGCTCATACCATCACATTCCACTTTCCCTACTCCTCCTCCCTTCCCATTGTCATTACAATCAAAGTGTGATCTTTCAGGTCAGAGTTATGGAAGAGGAGGCAAAACTGGCTAACATGAAGACAAGTGAATCTGAGAGCACTCTGTATAGGAAATACCAGGAGCTGGTAGGCACAGTGCAAGGAAAGGATGATCTGATCAACAGACTGGAGACACAGCTGGAGAAACAGGTAAAGCCACTCTACTGGTGAAACAGTAACATGGATGGGTCACAGAGACTGAAGGTAATACATGGTAATGTCAGGTGTGGCTTATGTCTACATCATTCATACGTATTCATGCCTCACTTGTCTCCTCACAAGTCACCTGTCTGTCTGTATTATCTTGATAGGATAGCTTTCTGACCAAGGCTAGATTCCTCTCCTTCCAAAAAGAAACATAAGAGTTCAACCAAAGACCAAACAGTCTCTCTGCAGCCCTTACCAAACTCAGTAGTCCTTTCCCTTCAGTGAGAGGTGTCCATACCTGCACTCTATGGAGCACCACATGCTCTCCTCCTATTATAGGAGTCAACCCTGGAAACCTAAATTGTGAGAAGGGTCTTAGGTAAACCCAAGACAGCCCTGCCACTCCTGGACAGAACTTCTTTGGCTCCCCAGTACAAGGTCATTCTGTGGTTCATCTCTAGCTCTGCCAAGCTGCTCTCAGCAGGGAGCACTTTCCCCAGTCTTTGGCAAGCCTCCCAGCACAGTGCTCTTGCCAGCCTCCTCCCCTGCTGAGGGCAGGCTGCCTCTTACATTTTCTAGTCGGTCTGGTTCTCAGTCACCTGCACTGTCTTGTGATGGGAGTTGGGGACAAGGCACAGGCCAGACTTAAAATCTGAACTCCTTAAACCCCTTTCACCTTGTAACAGAGAGGACAAGATGTCTTTTACATATCAGTTTACAAACTTACAAATAAATGGCCTCTTCCTCCCTTAAAAATCATCCTTTTGCTCTGTAGTTTTACTGTGTTCCCCTGATAAGGGAACATCTCTTTCCCTTTCCTCTCCCCTAACCACATTCATAGCCCTCACTACTCCTGGGCCTGGCATCCTACCAGCTGTGGAACCAGGACACTGTTCATGATTGCGGTCTTCTCTCTACCCCAACTATTCACACACACCACCAAAGCTGCTCTTAGGAGACACCAAATGACTAAAGTGGACCCAGTTCTGGCCTCTAGGGAGTCCTTTTTGAGCTGGCAAACTAAGAACCAATGGAACTAAGTTAAATAACATTCAACCTTAGCTCCTGCATTGAATTGTCCCACAATACCAGCTCGCATTGCCCACTGGTAAATTTTCAAATAAGCACCTTTATGTGCTTGTTCACATTGTCCCTCACACTTGAGCTTCCAAAAACCTACCTCTGTATCCTTCAGATCCCTCCTTTAAACTGGTTTACTTTGATACCCACAAAAAGCTTGACAATGGTTGGGCTGCTGGAGCAAAAACAGCACTGAATATCAAGCTGGCCAATATGTCTCATTTTTTTTTACTTAGCTACCCATCTCTTTGTATCCATCTTTTCTCTGTGGTCTAATACTTAGTTAGAATGTTCTTTGGGGCAAGGGCCATCTTTTGTTCTGTGTTTGTACAGCATCTTGCACAAAGGTGTTAATAATAAAAGTAGCTACTCCTGCAGAGAATGGAACCAGAAATACAACTTTAGGACTGCAGCTGCCCAGGATGGGTGCCATTTGAACCTAAGTAGACACTATATCATAAATTCTGACTGTCTGAAATGAAGGTTTGAAGTTCCCCAGATACTCTTCAAACAAGCCTTCTCCCAGCAGTGTAGATAAGATTTTATAGATGTCGGGCAAAATCTTGAGATGCCTTCCTTACAGTGGGTGTGCCTCATGGGATCTTTGGTCCTCCCAAACAAAAGGCAAGCCAAGGTAACTGCCCCCCCACCTCCCCTATAACTACCCCCCTGTAGTGTGTACAGGGCTTCCTTCTTTAATTGCTGTTTGTGCTGCTGGGCTCCACTGTTTTAAGAACAGTCTCTCATTTTTCATTGGTAGCTAATCCTATAATCTGTTGGGGAAGTTTACCAAGGCCCATTAAAACAACTAGATTACCAAGGTCCAATCTGCCCCAGACTGAAGCTGGGCTGATTTGGATTCATCATGAGATATGAAGCCTTTTATTTTGGGGATCCATGGTTCAAATTCAGAGTAGACTGGGAGAGTTGGAGTCTTAGTAAAATGTAAAGACTGCTATCTATCACCCAGGTCATTTATTTGATTTAATAATCAAGCATGGAACCTGGGTAGTTCTGGGCATTGGTAAAAGAATGCTTAGCAATTTATCACTTGGTCTCTGATCTGAATCAGGCCTGGGTCATTAAGGATTCAAGGACATTTCCATTTCATGGCTGTTCAGAGGCCTGTTAAATACACTGCATAGGATTTGCGGGTCATATTGGAGCAGGAGTCTGTCAAGTCTGAAATCCTGACTCGAGCAGAGGCTGGTACCTGATGACTCAGAGGAAAGCTAAAGTAATGCACATAAAAAATGTTATAATGCTGTATGTGAGAGAAAATCCTGATTCCCCCCACAGGAGGCATGAGATTTGATTACTTTTAACTTAACATGTCTAATTCCAAATGTTATTATTGGTTATAAAATTACCTAGGCCTATTTTAAAATCATCACAGTATTTGAATAAACTGTGCTGCTGAGGTAGTGAACTGCACAGATCAGTGAGAATTGATGTGAAGAAGTGTAGGATTTCCTCTTATGCGCTGTTAACTGAATGAACCTCTTCTAAAAAGGAGGGCATGGATAATTTTTCAGTATTCCCAGATCTCAGTAAAACAGATGCCACATTACAAAATCCACTACCAGATTTGGCACAAAAAATCCACTATCACTATTGTCTGCCTCAGGAGACAATAAACTAAGCTAAACTTCCCCCTTTTGCTCTTAGAGGTGGTTTCTCTATTTAACATGTCTGATAACATGTCTATGTAGCTTGTGTGGCAATCCCAAGAGCGCACCTGAGAAACAGCTCCATCTGCTTCTCCAACTCTGTACATACCACTTGCTGAAAAAATATTGCATACTTGCTTTCTGGAACAAAGTCAGGGACACTCTCACAATCTCAGCCTTGGGTGTACTCCTGACAACAGCACTGGGTACAGACGGAACTGCTCTGATGGCGACCACACATTTTTTCAGCATGTGGTGTGTGAGAAGTGAGTACAAGTGGGTAGGGCTTGTTTCTTGGCAGTGGTCTTGGGATCATTTTAGAGGCAGTGTTGACATATTATAAGCTTTTCAGAAATAGGGAAGTTGGCATTGGCACTGACCATGCTATACCTGTTCTGTGGATGGACAATCTTCAGCAGTACCAATCCAGCACCATTTGAGAAGAAAAAAGAAGAGACAGAAAACTACAACTGCAAAATTGATGTTTTGGTAAAATTACCAGGGAAGAATATTTGATTTCACAACTATTATTTTTTATTTGAATTACCAGAGCCTCCATGGGTCCTAGTGGTGGAGTATGACTTCATTGTGATAGACCCCAGACAAACACAGAACAATATACCTCATCTGCTGGCCTACTGTCAATTCCTGTGGTGTTCCCAGCTCAGAATTTGTCCTTTAGTCCCCGGCTTCATAGATTTCATAGACATCAGGGCTAGAAGGGACCTTGCAAGATCATTGGGTCCAGCCCCCTGCCCAAAGGGCAGGAAGTGATCTGGGGTCAGATGACCCCAGCAAGATAAGCATCCAAATGCAACTTGAACATGTCCAAAGTAGGTGCTTGCATCACTTCTGGGGGGAGTCTATTCCAGACTCTGGAGACTAGGACAATAAAGAAGTTTTTCCTTATGTTCAGTCTAAAATGGCCTTCCAGCAGTTTGTGGCCGTTGGGCCTTGTCTTCCCTAGGGGAGCCCTGGTGAACAGACATTCTCCCAGATCCTGATGTACCCCCAATCATGACCTCCAAATCTCTTTTGGACATAGTGTTAGTGAATGAATGAAGCACTGCCAAGCCTATAGGTATGGTGTGGGTCCTGAGGTGGAGCACCTTGCATTTCTCTATATTGAAGGTCATCAGGTTTATATCCGCCCACCTTACAAGCCTGTCCAAGTTGGCCTGAATTCTCAGCTTATCCTCCAGTGTAACCGCGCTTCCCCAAGGTTTGGTGTCAGTTTGGTGGGGAAGCAGATTTAGCCAGTCTGCTTCTGACACCTGAATCCAGATTGTTAATGAATATATTAAAGAGTACTGGGCCAAGTACAGAATGCTGGGGGACGCCACTGGTCACCACGTGCCATCTTGACTTGGTTCCATCAACTATCACTCTCTGAGTGTGACCACGAAGCCAGTTCCCCTGTCATTGGACCATGTGGTTGTCAAAGCTGCAGTTCCCCAATTTTGCCATGAGGACATCGTGGGAGACCAAGTCAAAGGCTTTTTGAAATCCAAGTAAATAACATCAACCTCTCCCTGCCCTGTCCAGATGACACAATACCTGGTCATAGAAGGAGATGAGGTTGATCAGGCATGACCTACCCGTAACGAAGCAGTGCTGGCTGTCTCTCAGAATGGTGTCTTCTGTCAGCTTGTGATTGATGGATTCTTGATAATTTTCTCCAATATCTTTCCAGGGATTGAGGTCAAATTTACTGGCCTGTAGTTCCCTCGATCTTCCTTCCTTCCTTTCTTGAACCTGGTGGCTTTTTATGATCAGATCACCAGATCGTTAGATGCAGGGGTAGCAGTGGACATAGTCTTCCTGGACTTCCGGAAGGCATTTGACACTGTCTCTCACCCCGTTCTCATTAAGAAACTGGGGGGCTGTGGTGTAGACACCCACACAGTCAAATGGGTCGCCAACTGGCTGGAGGGCCGCACCCAGAGGGTGGTAGTGGATGGGTCCTTCTCAACCTGGAAGGACGTGGGCAGTGGGGTTCCGCAGGGCTCGGTCCTCGGGCCCGCGCTGTTCAACATCTTCATCAGTGATTTGGACGAGGGGGTAAAAAGCACCCTGTTCAAATTTGCTGATGACACTAAGATGTGGGGGGACGTGGGCACACTAGAAGGAAGCAACAGGCTACAATCTGACCTAGACAGGTTACAAGGGTGGGCGGATGAGAATAGGATGGGTTTCAACACAGACAAGTGCAAGGTGATGCACCTGGGGAGGAACAACCGGCACCATACCTACAGGTTAGGGAACTCCCCTCTTGTCAGCACGGAGGCGGAAAAGGATCTTGGAGTCATCATTGACTCCAAGATGAACATGGGTCGGCAGTGTGGGGAGGCAGTTAGGAAGGCCAACCGTACCTTGTCATGCATCCACAGATGCATTTCAAGCAGGTCAAAAGAGGTGATCCTCCCCCTCTATGCGGCACTGGTCAGGCCACAGTTGGAGTACTGCGTCCAGTTCTGGGCACTGCACTTCAAGAGGGATGTGGACAGCATGGAGAGGGTCCAGAGGAGGGCCACTCGCATGATCAGGGGACAGCAGGGCAGGCCCTATGAGGAGAGGCTACAGGACCTGAACCTGTTCAGCCTCCAAAAGAGAAGGCTGAGGGGGGATCTTGTGGCCTGTTACAAACTGGTCAGGGGGGATCAGAAGACATTGGGGGAGTCCCTGTTCCCCCGAGCACAGCCAGGAGTGACCAGGGACAACGGTCACAAGCTGGCAGAGGGTAGGTTTAGGTTAGACATCAGATGGCGCTATTTCACGGTCAGGGCGGCTAGGGTCTGGAACCAACTTCCAAGGGAGGTGGTGCAGGCTCCTACCCTGGGGATTTTTAAGAAGAGATTAGATGAACACCTTGCTGGGGTCGTTTGACCCCAGTACTCTTTCCTGCCCTGGCAGGGGATCAGACTAGATGATCTTCTCAGGTCCCTTCCGACCCTAGGAACTATGAAACTAAGATAGGCACCACATTGGCCCTCTTCCAGTCTGCGGGAACTTCTCCCAAGCACCATGAGTTCTCAAATATCTGTGCCAATGGCCGAGTTAAGATGTCAGCCAACTCTTTTAGCACTCTTGGGTGCATTTCATCAGGGACTGCTGACTAATGGGTGTCCAGCCTCTCAAGATGTTCCCTCACAAGGTCTTCTCCAAATGTAGGCGTATGATCACCCGTACCCTCGTAATCCTATGTCCTGTCAGGCAGGGTGATCCCCTTGGACTGGTGAAAACCCGACGGAAAGTAATCATTGAAAAGATTAACTTTTTCCTGGGTGTTGGTTGTCAGCTGCCCCATATGATTCAGCAGGGGTCCAACGTTGCCGTTATTTTTCTAAGAAAAATATCTGAAGAAGGACTTTTTATTGTCCTTGATTCCTGTAGCCGGCTAAAGCTCAGTTTCGGCCTTGGCTTTTCTGGTCCACTCCCTACAGGTGTGAGCCAGTGATGCATAATCCTTCTTGGAGGTATTTCCCATCTTCCACCCCTTATAGGCTTCTCTTTTAAACTTAAGGAGGTCCATGAGTTCCCTTTTTAGCCAAGGGGGGTTCCCAGCCCTTTTACTACCTTTCCTGAAGGCCGGAACAGATTTCTCTTAAACTTTTAGGATTGCGTCTTTAAGGAGTGACCACTCATCTTGCACTCCCTTCCCTGTCAGATCGTGATCTTTCAGGGCCTTGACAACCAACCTTCTGAGCTCATGAAAGTCAGCCTTCTGAATTCAAGAATTTCTGCATTGCTGACATATTTGCCAGCTTTGCAATAGATAAGGAAGGTGATCAATTCATGATCACTGTTACCGAGCTTCACTTCAATCCTGAGGTTGCTCACTAGATCATCCCCTTTGGTGCCTCACCTCTTGTCGGCCCGTGTACTTCTTCCCCCAGACTGAGCTTGTCAGTGCAGGTGAGGAAGCTACGCAACTGATCAGATTTGGCTGAATGCTCCTCCCATGAGATGTCAGGGTGGTTGAAATCACCCGTGACAACCATGCACTGAGAGTGTGCAGCCTCGGTTAGTTCCCTAGAGAAGTGGTGGTCTAGCTCTGCCCCCTGGTTAGAAGGTCTGTAATAGACTCCTACAGTTATATCCCCTGCACCACGTTCTCCCTGTATTCTAACCCAGAGGGTTTCACGTCACCCTCCTTGGGTGCCAATGTCAGCTAGTAGGGAAGTATACTGCTCCTTGACATAGAAAGCTACACCCCCGCCCTTCCTCCTAGCACGATCCCTCCTATACAAGGTATAGCCATGTATACCTGTAGTCCAGCCATAGGTGGAGTCCCACCAGGTCTCTGTTATCCCTATGAGGTCATATTTGTTATTGCTTAGCAGGAGAGCCAGTTCCTCCTGTTTGTACCCCATGCTCCTGGCATTAGTGTACAGGCAGCTCAGCCTGCCATTGGAAGCCCTTGGCTTCTCTGTACACTTAGGAGATTCCCATCCATGGGCAGGGGTAAGGTTTCCTGACCTGCTGATTATGTGCTTATCTCTTCCTGGGCTTGTTCTGATGGCTGTCTGCCCAACCCCCAGTGAGCTTAGTTTAAAACTCTGTCAAGCAGGTCAGCCAAACTGGTTGAAAAAAGCTTCTTTCCCATTGGGGTGAGGTGGAGGCCGTCTCTTCCCAGCAGACTGCTGCCTCTCTCCCTGAGGTGCGGACTATGATTGAAGAAGCACAGTGATTGCCTTCACGGTGGCACCAATCCCTCAGTCTTCTGTTAACCTCTTCAATACATCTCTTCCTCTGGTGCCTGTGACCCGTAACCTGGAGGATGGAGGAGAAAATCACCTGTGCCCCCAAACCTCTGAGCCGAGCCCCCAGAGCCCTGTAGTCACTCATAACCCAGCCAGGATTGCTCCAAGCCACGTCATTTGTGCCCACGTGGATGAGGAGCATGGGGTAGTGGTCAGAAGGCTGGATACATTTCAGGATCCTCTCAGCTACATCCTGGATACGGACCCCTGGGAGGCAGCAGACCTCATAGGTTAAGAGGTTGGGGTGGCAAATCGCACCCTCTGTCCCCATCAAGAGGGAATCTCCCACAGCAACCACCCTGCGTTTCTTCTTTGGTGTGGATGCTGGTTGCCTGCCTTCCTCCAGAGCTGGAGTCGGTGACTTTGCTGGCTCTGCTGCTGCTGCTGCGAGGGGTTCATATCTGTTATGGAGTTCCAGGAGGGTGGTGACCCTGGCACAGGGTGCCTTGGGGCCAGAGAAGATCTTTGTCCAAGCGACCCCTAACTGGACTTCATGGGGCTCTTGTCCACCTTCATCTTGTTTTTCCATCCTCATTCCTCAGGAGAAGAGCCTGGCAGTAGGCATCAATCTCCTCGTTGCCATCCCTGATGGCATGCAGCCTCTGCGCCACAGCCTGGAGCTCCCTATCTGGCACCCTAGAGACTCTAATGTGGAGCACACCCCACAAGGGGAGGTGTCTTTGCTCCTGAACCCAGGTGCCTGCATTCATGCCAGGAAGCCCCCAGTTCTATTAACCTTGACTTGTTTACATGTCATTTCTCAATGAGAGCATGAACTGTTTATTGCAGGGATTTATGGCAGAAATATCAGGCTTTTGAAACAATCACCCTGCCTAAGCCTCCTGTCTCCAGTTCCTGCCCTTTAAACTCTAGTTGCAACAAAGGGACTTTTAGAGAGCCCTTTTCATTCTGAAGGATTGCAAAGTGTATTACATATTACATGGAGGAATTGCTTCATTCTTCAGTGAAGTACTGCCAACAATGGGGTGGACGACTACAGCAGATAATAACTCATGGCAACACTACACAACAGTTTAGGATAGGAAGACTATGGACAAATGAACTGTGGAAGACAAGATATAACTGCCTAGACTAGAATTATATCAGGGTACAACACGCTTCTGAAATATGTGCTAGGAGATCATTAACTTAAATTGTTAAACATGACCAGTAACTTAAGTACCTAGTTGAGGCACTTTGAAGGGGCTAGGCTTATAGAGGTCAGGTGGATAGTAATATCTTAATACTCTTCAGCCCTGAGACCTTTCCTCTGAACTGAAGATCCATTGGATAAGTCACTCCTGATACAGTAACTGATTGAGAACGTGATTCTGCTGTCCTAATGAAACTAACCCTCTCTTTTGCCACAGAAGCAGTTGAGAGCTCAGGAAGCTACAATTGTCCAAGAAAAAGCTGCCAAGATCAAGGAGTGGGTAACATTTAAGCTAAGAGAGGTGAGTCCCCAGCCTGCTGTCAGTGTCTGCGATGCAATTGGGGCAGCTGGTGCTGTTGGTTGCTAGAGCTGTAGATGGAGCACTCTCTGGGGGAATGGCATTCACTCTTGCACAAAATGGTCCTTCATTTTTGACACTGCATGCAACTCACGGTGCAGGGGCTGATGCACTGTCTTGGGCTATGAACAAACATAACTTTTACCTGTTTTAAAATGGGAAGAGAAGCTGCCACAGGAGGAGCGTAAACCCAGAAGTTCCTGGCTAAAGGGTCATGTCCCTCCACGCAGAGTCAGACCAATTGCCATATTTGGCATCAGGAAGAAATTTTACCCCATGCTCAGATTGGTATGGACAGTGGGGAGTTTTGCTTTCCTCTAGTGGGGAATGTGGTCCTCTTCCCTGGGGTCTCTTGAGCATATAAAAACAACCTTTGCAGCAACATTGGCCACTGTCATTCCCTTGCTTTACCTAAGGCAGGTTATGGTGTTACATCCTGGGTTTTGTGTCAAAAGTTGATGGTGTAGTCTTGCTAAGCAGTTAGACAATGTATTTGTATAGGATGGTTTGCATAGGGATGATCCTGACTCAGGCAGGGGGTTGGACTAGCTGACCTCTCAAGGTCCCTTCCACCCTTCTTCTCTGTTATTCTATGAGCACAAATCAACTGTTATGATATAACATTAAGGTTGCAGTGGAGCTACACTTACATCACTACAGGAACATGCAGATGTAACAGTTCTGTTTATACTATTAGTGACTCCGTCTACCTCAGTAAATTAATGCTAAGTTGTCATGACAGGATCATGGGCTCCAAGATCCAGTCTCTGACAAAAACCGTTCTCCCGCTAGAAAGCACAAAATGTTTCACTCCTTTTCCTTCAGCTCCCCAAATGCTGTGCCTAGCATTTTTTCCAACGGGGCAGCTTTCCAAAAGGGCCCAGCTTCTTCACCTATTGCTCCAACTCTGACCATTACTGCTTTCCTCCACCATGGCATTCTCTCATATCTGTCCTTCACCTGTATCTCAGAATAATTTTGAACCATTTTAAAGGGGAAGGGAACTTGCTGCTCAGCAGTGTTCATTAGCTGTTACAATTTAACATTGTCCAACTCCAGTGGTATAAATGAGTTAAATTGCGGTAACCTCAACCTTGAAAGAAATAGTGTTAAAGCTGCAATAGTTTCACTCCACTTACAAGAGGAGATATAACAGTTATATAAAAAAACTGCTTATAACTTTCTAATTTAATTCTAATATAACTGTTATCTCTGTCCATGCCTTGAGCATGTTTATTCCAGGAAGGGAGTCATTGCACCTAAAGATAAAGAAAAGGGTCTCTTTGTTCCTCCCATGCATTTGGGTGAGACTCTTTAGGACTGCTTCAATAATTCACTATGTTATTCTGTTTTCCTCTCTCAGGAATAGATTTGAGTGAAGCAATTTTTGTCTTTCTCCTTAGCCTATCATGCTATAAGGGGATGTGTTACAAGGCACAAAGGGTGAAGGAAAGCAGCCACTCCCAAGCTGTCTCTTTCAGACTCTTTTCCTAAAATGTCAGTGATAAATTATAAAAAAAAAATAAGAGGGAAGAGAAATTAAGAGGCTGTTATGGAGGGTAAGGGAGATGCTTTAGCAGGATATTTGAGAATAGGTGGTGAAGTGCAGGAAGGCTTTTCCAGACAGTAGTAGCTTCAGTGAGGAGAGGGTTCTGGACTTAAACTTAAATTAGTCTGTGCTTTTTCTTATTCTGGTCTTTAGACGTTATTGCAGGCAGAGCTCTTAATGCAACCTGAGTGAAGGGAAAAAAAGTTTAAAATTATTTTTCTGTTTTTATTATCACCATTGTTTCATAGCTTGAGCTAGAAAATTACCACCTGAGAGACTGTAATCAGCAGCTGTCGGAGCAAATTGAAGCCCTTCAGGACACATTGCAAGGTAAATGTGTTCACCTGGGACTGTAGCCTAGTAACCAGCAGAGGAGTGGAAATCAAGAATCTTGGGTTCAGTTTTTGGCTGCCACGGATTAAGTGTGGCGTTAGGCAACTAGAATAATAGCCCTGTTCCTCCATTTGTTCATTTTAACATGGGAATAACAAAGCCCTCAAAGGGCTGCTAATAGGCTTTATTAAATTGATGTTTGCAAAATCAGCTGGAGAGAACACTCTAGAGAAAGACCAAATAGTGTTGTAAAGATGCTCTTGATTGGGCAGTAGAGACTTAGCTCCAAGCCTCTGAGTTAGAAATTTGTTACTGCCTCCAAACTTATGCAGCCAGTGGACTCAAGATGTTAAGAGTCTTAACTGCAGTCAATGGCAAAACCTCCAATCACTTCAGGGCTACTAGATCAATTGCTTGATGGATGTCATTTCACTTCCTTCTCAGGAAGAAGGTAGCCCCATCCTTTAAAAGCCACTCACAAAAATGGAACTATTTTGACTTGCTGTTGGCAGTCATAGCAAGAAAGAAGCCAAGAACAGGATGAGCCAAGGGAGACTGAATTCTTTTTCTTGCTTTTATAGAATTAGATCCCTCTGGCACAGGACTGAAGCATATTAGCAGATTAGGGTAGAAGAAGATTGTGCTGCCTGTACCTTTGTTGTAGTTTTTCTGTAGTTAAATGCAGGACTTTGTTCCCCAGTGTTGAGAGTCTAATATCTTTTTTTTTCAGAACATGATTTACTCTTTTTTTTAAAAAGGAAGAAATCCTCTCATGTCCAAAATGTTTTTAATGAGCTCAGTTGAACCCAAGAAATGACTGGAACTTGATCTGAGCAGGCAGGGGCCATTTCTCTCCTACTAAGCTCTCATTTTGGCATCTTTCATGCCTCTGCTCCCACCCCTCTACCACAATGGAAGAGTGCAAAGTTCTCTCCAAACCCCAGTATATTTCCAATCAAATGCTTTGCGAGCAAGCTTTTTTTCTCATCCTTTCTGACTCTGACGGTTTACAGAGAGAGAATGGCTGGTAAGCTGCGTTAATAATCTGGTATTAAGTGTTCTCTGGATCCCAACCCACTGAATAGTAAACAGCTTAGCACTGCCCACCCACCCCCCAGTGAACTACACAGTCTCACTAAATTCAGAGGCCCCAACAGAGAGAGGCCAGCCATGCTGGTATTAACAGCTTCCTCTGCTGCCATCACCCATCCTGCCTAGGGAGCTGCCAACATGCCAGTAATATTTAAAATAAGTGACCTTATTACATAGTTACACTGATTCCCTGTTTTGGAGACAGTGGAATTTGTTATGCAGAGATTATTGGATAGGACTATGTTGGTCTCACAATCAAATCCTTGTGAGAAGAGGGTCAAACCTGGATAGTCTTTGTTCCTTCCTGTTTTCTTCAGCTACCTTTCTAATATCACAGAAAAGTAGGTTTTATTCTCTTCACAATACAGCTGCTGCTTCTCCTTCCTTCCATCATTATGCTTCTTCAATTTGTATTGACCTCTTTGTCAGCCCTACTGGCAACAGAATGAGCATTATCAGTGATGTGTTATGATGCCTGATTATTCATATTCCCAAAGAGTTTCTGTGGCATCTTGGAATCTGGTTCTTTTAAGTAGAAGACACTGTTTAAAAATGACTAGAAATCCTGAACTGATCCATATAACTTCCCATCCTGTTGCAGATTTTACACACAATATGAAACTTGTCAAGGTAGGACAGGGTATCTGTGCAAGACAAGGCTAAAATGAAAAGGGCATAGATAATTTCTTTGGCCATCACTGATTGAGAAGATACAACCATAGTAGACCTGGTCTGCAAGGCTCCTGGAGCACTGTGTCCCCCCCTCCTTTCAAGCCTTGCAGAGACTCTGGCATGGATGCACTGTGGAGACCAGGTCTCCAGATAGGGGAAGGATGAGGGTAGAAACCTAGTGGTTCTTTGAGGCCACTCCACAGGTAGACAACGGACACATCTACACAAGACACTTCATTGTGCAGCAGACCAATTTACTGCGCAGTAAGCATCACCGTCTACATGTGCAGATGCTTACTGTGCAGTAAATTGGTCTGCTCTGAGGTGAATGTGCTACCTGCAATTGCTCCCTGCCCCCGGGAGCTGCTTGCTGCCAGGGTGGGCTGCAATGGCAGAGCCCAAGCTGGGACAATGTCCCCCTACCCTGGCAGCAGGGAGCTGCTGGCTCTGTGATCACAACAGGGGGAAGGAGATTGCTCCCTACGCCTGAGAGCTGTCTGCTGCCAGGGCAGGATCTGAGGCAGGATATAATGGGTAACTCCAGGCTGGGACAATGTCCCCCTACCCTGGCAGCAGACAGCTCTCAGCCCTGACTCCGTGATCAGAGCCAAGGCTGGGAGATTGCTCCCTGTCCTGGGGAGTTGCTTGCAGGCAGCTCCCGGGTTCAGGGAGCAATCTGCCACCATGTAGATGTACTCCCCCATAGACTTACTACACAGTAAGCCTACTTCAAATTTATTGCACATATAGATGCACTCCATAAGGAGTTAATGCTGGTACTGCCATTAGTATTTGCTGTGGTCTAACGGCGTTAGATTAGTGTTGAAAAACGGAAGCAGAAAGTCCCATTTCCAGCAGTGACTCGTTATGTTACCTCGGGGCACACTGTTTCCGTTTCCATTTCCTCACCTTCGAAAAGCATTTTTTGGATTATTCATTTGGCCAAACACCCTATAAACACAAGGTATTATTGTTCAGCCTACTCACCTACTCCCCTTCAGAGTCTAAGATGCATCCCCCATCTCCCTGAGGGAAGAGGTAGGGTTGGTGACTGCTAGAGAGCCCTGGGGAACACAACCTAGATGTGCCCACAGTGGGTGGAGGCCTCCTCAGTGCCTCTCCCAGGGTTCTCCTGCTGTAGTGGAAGAAGGAGCAGGTCTGGGTATAGCTCTCCTGCCAATTCATCAGGATTTAGCCTTACTTCTCCAGATCTCAGGACCCCCATTGAAAGGAATCTGTAGGACTCAGGTTGTCTACAGTCAGTGTGGAAACCAAAAAAAAAAAGTAAGAGTGAACAGAGCATAAGTATAGGGAGGGCCAGTCAGGCACTCCTGTTTATTCAATTTTCTAATACAACAGATGAAATGAAAAAGAAAAGACAAAGAAGTGTGAGAGGCAAGGATTTCTTAGGGTGATCTCTTTTATTGGACCAATTGTGTATTAGAGTTAGAAGTAAGAAATTTAGTTAATAGAGTTAGAAATCCTTGACTCTCATATAATTTTTGGACGATCACAGCTACAACATCACTATCAAGACAAAGAAGGAAATTTTTAGGAACAAAACATACAATTAGCTTGTGAAACCTATTGCCACAAGCTGTGACATGGGGAAAATGGCATGGAAACTTTTTAAGTGGCATTACACATTGTATGTGAAAGTAGTCATAAAAGCTCTCTGTTTTCATTCTGCATGGCATCCACCCATCACTGAGCTGAGGACAGGAGAAAACTAAGATGGATTTTCTGCTGTTTCAATTCACTATAGCTGAATGAAATAAATGGGGTTATGATGATACACATCACCTGAAGCTCTGGCTCATTATCTCTTCTCTAATATAGTGTTACTTCCCAGTCATACACATACCAGTGCTTTTCCTTTGCCTCCAACCTGTTGAATGCTGGCCACTTTAAGAGAAGGCACACTGTTACAGATGGGCCATGGGTCTCCTGCAGTATGGCTCCTACTGAAATACAAGTGACATGAACACTGCCCTAACAACTGATACAAGGGATGATTTGGATTAAAGAGGGTGGGAGGGTGGGGGTTGAAATATTAAAATGTTTTAACCATTTTTCCCCTCCTCCTCTTGCAGATCTGACAACCATCCCTCCCATTGAATCTCTTTGGAGCTGCAACCCTTTGGTGACGAGAGCATCACTGTCACCTTTGCTGGAAAAGCCAGGCCAGAATTCCATGCTGCTTGGGCAGGGTATCAAGCAGCTGTGTCAGGGTGCGCCTGCCAGAAGTATTCCTTCTACAGCAAATATAGTCTTTGTGGATGAAGCTGACATTGAAGATGAAGCTGATAAGTTGGTGCTTTCCCAGAACGTGCTGAGGCTCATCCCGGACCCAAACTGGAAGCCCTCTGTAGACCAGGACAGATTCCCTGCTGTAAATTCTGACACCAGTTCAGAGTGCCCTGGTGCCACACTCCTGGACCCACCCGATGAGACCACAGGGGTCTATGAAGCCCTGACTTTGCAGTCATCCCTGGAGGGCCCTGTTAACATATTAAATCAGATAGGAGCACAGCTGGACAACCCCTCAGATGAGCTAAGTGACAAGTTTCGCTCCCACAGGCTGGACTCCTCATCTTCAGGAGAGATACTGGGTGCCCTTGATGGCTGTCTCTTGGCTGCAGAGCCAACACTGGATTTGCCATCATCCATCAATCCTACACAGCCAAGTCTTCTAGCGAGGGATGGTTGCCTAGTTAGTAGTATGACTCTCCCAAAAATACGGACTCCCAGCAATCCAAGAGACAGTATCCAACTGGCCAAGAGACATTACAGCCAGCCCCAACCAGGGACTAATCACTTTCATCGTACAATGAGCATAGAGATCAGCGCCTTCCAGCCCATAACAGGCTCATCACTTTGCCATGTAGAAGTGGAAGAGACAGACATTGATGCTGAGCTGCCAGAGAAGATGGAGACAGAAGGGTGTCCAGTGGGGGAAAAGATTGGAAAGAGTGATGGGAGCAAGCAGCTTCCTGCTTCAGGCCAAAAAAAAGCTGAAAGTTGTGGAAGTCTAGTACTAGATCCAGGATGCAAACCTCCCACTCCACCACTGCACAGATTCCCATCATGGGTAAGACATGAAGGGGACACTGCCATTAAGGGCTTGGGACAGGGATGAAACAAACCAGAAGGGTCCCTACTCCTTAGGTACAGTCCCTTTTAGAACCTGGATTGGAGCCCAGTATTCACCTGCCATCAGTCAGAGCCTGTGAAAGCCACCAAAGCTTAGGGGCATGTATACACAGACAAATGAAAAAAGCATGTGCTAGCATATCTGCATTAGGTTAGCCTAGTTAGCATAGCAGTGAAGACACAGCATGTGCTAGCAACCAGAGTACATAACTAGGAGTCTCTGAAGGGTTTGTACTTTTGTTGTTAGTATGTACTAAAGTTCTTACAGCTGCATCCTCAATGCTATTATTACACTTACTAGCAAATTGCCCATCATGAAAGATGGGGTGGGGAGGAGGACGGAGCACCGCCACCCAATGCCCTGTGGTGCTGCCACTCTGCCCCCAGCCCCATGC